AGGCCGTGGGAAGTGCTTTTCAAAGTCGAACGTGATGCGCTTGGAGAACTCAAGGCCGACAAGGACCTGTCCATCGTGCCAGCGGACAAAGGGCACGCCACTGTTGTACTGAACAGGACAGACTACCTTTAAAAAGCCGAAGGTTTACTGGAGGACCGACAGTTCTATGTTTCATGTGCAACGAACCCTTTAAAAGCGCTGACACGCAAAACTAATGCTACGTCGTTGGCCTTGAAGAACTCAGGTGCAATAACACCGATGGACAGAGGCATGGCGATACCCCAGGACGGACTGGCTAAGTGGCTGTTCCGGTGCCTCAAGTTTCTGACCGCTCGGTCAAACGTCACGGCCTCTTTGTCAGCACAATTCCTGGAGAAACTCAAAGAGGTAAACCTCCATCCAAATGAGGTCATGCTATCTTTCGATGTTACATCCCTTTTTACTTCTATTCCCTAGGACTTGGCGATCGAGACAATCGAGCTACTTCCACAAAGCAAATACGATGAAATGGCGAATCGTAATGGACACGCCCAAGTCCTTCAGCTCCTGAAAGTCCGTCTCAGTATGTACTTCACGTTCTAAGGAACAATCTACGAACAGGTGAAGGGCACACCAATGGATTCGCCGCTTTCTGTGCTCATAGTCGAGATGGTTCATTAATGGCTGGACTCGATAGTCTTTCAACACCAGAAACCAAAGTTCTGGACCCGATATGTGGATGATACTTTTGTCATTAGATAGATAGATAATTTTTATTAAAGACCCGTCGGGGTCCCACCAAAGCAAGTTAAAATAAATTTACATGCGAGTTTTAGACGAGGTAGGCCGAATCTTTACAAAATGCAATTCATAGTTTCTGAATTAGAAGTCCATTGAGAAACATGATGATTGAGGGGTGAAAAAAAACTCCTTACCAAAAGTTAAAAATGATTGGATTCATTTTACAGGAGAAAAAACCCCTCTTTAAAAATATTAACAGAAAAAGCGAGCAGGACTGGCCTGTAGGTGGCGGTATATAACGGAATGTTATCGGTCATCGTCAGGGTAGCAATAAATCTCAGCCTTGAGGGGTACGAATGTGGGTCAGACAGGACTGGCTTGCATATGGCATTGTATACGGGATTCACAATTGAGATCGTCTGGGCCGGATTGGTACGCCGCGTCAAAGAGGCCAGACGAGAGGAACCCAGATGCGATCGGCCACAGCACGCTTCGAGCTCAGCCGAGCAGTGGGGAAGGGAGGTACTACCGAACTACTAGTAGACAGTGAATACTGAGGGTTCCGCCGTGAGCGTCGACAGACCGCATGAGGTCGGAATGCGGGAGATGACATCAAAAACCGCGAAAATTGTCGCTATGGGGGGAGTGACAGCAGTGGATTTAGAAACCAATTCAAAACAGGGGTTTCTAATGATATAATTAAGAGTTACCGCTTAATCTACCACTAAATCCCAGGAGGACCCTTCTCGAAGTCAAGAATCTGAGTGTTCGGGAATGAGACCGTTAACAGTGCCTTTATGCTTTCCGGTGTAATATGGTTGCGTAATTTCGACTTCCAGTAACTTAGGCGATAATCTAATTTCAGTCTGAAGATTATTCCAAAGGAAGGCATATTTGGAAGCAAAGAAGAGGGAGCGCTTAGATGTAGTACAAAGAGGCGGCGGAATCACCATGCAGGAGTTGCGCGTGGCATAAGACCGATCTCTTGGAGTGAGAGTGTCAATGTGCGGAAGACTGGTACTAAAGTTGATGCGAAAAAGGAAGCAAAGGCCAGCTTCGAGTCTTCTAACCCACAAAAACTTCATGTTCGCCAGCTGACATCTCTGAGTATAAGAAATACTGGACGAAGCTTGAGAGAACAGTTTCCGGGTGAAAACCCTCTGAACATTTTCGATTTTATTACGGTCGCAGGCGTTCATTAAACCGAAGAAAGGACAGCAGTATTCGAGGACTGGAAGAACAAACATTTGATAAAGTGTTAGCTTCATTTCCGGAAGGAAAAAATTATGCGATATGAATCCACATATCTGCGCGGCTTTGGCGGAGATTCTATCTGCATGAGGTGATCAAGCAAGTTTATTTGTATAACTTAGACCTAGGTCCTTTATGGTGAGGCATTCTGAGAGTGGGTTATTCTAAAAAATTATGGGACCAGGAAGTTTGGTAGGACCAAAAGACATGAAACTACACTTGGATGATGAAAACTCCATCTGCCATGTCGAACCCCATCTGCTTAAGCGTAGTAGATCGGCATTAATTTTTTCAACACAAACGTTTGCGGTGTCCTCACAGTATGAGTAAACACACTTGAGATCATCGGCATAAGTAAAAGTTTGCGAATTTCCGAGTTCAGTCGAAATATCATTGATGTACAGAAGGAAGAGTAGCGGACCCAGAACCGTGCCTTGAAGTACGCCACTCGTGATCGAGTGGGGTGTCGAGTAGCTATTACCGACCATGACTTTCTGATATCGGTTGTACAGATAGGACCTGATGAAGTCGAGTAGAGGCGGCCGGATGCCGAGAGCTTCCAATTTTACTAAAAGACGTCTATGGGGCACCTTGTCAAAGGCTTTGCTAAGATCAAAGTAGATAACAACCACTGACTGCCGCTCATTACGAAGAGAAGTGATTAGATTAAGAAAAGCCAAGTGGCATGTTTTGCAGGATCGTTCAGGTAAAAATCCATGCTGACTAGAGCTCAGAAGCCGATTAGCTAGACAGAAGTCGGGAATTTCATTGAAAATAATCCTTTCAAGAAGTTTTGCTAAAGACGGCGTTTTGTGCACGCCCCGATAGTTATTAACATCGGACCGAGATCCTGACTTGAAAACGGGAATGATAATTGACGTTTTCCATGTTTCAGGAACGAATACTTTTGAAATATAAACCGGGAATAAATGACTGAGCAATATGGGAAGGTCGGACGCTTGTTTAATAATCGAATTCGGAATCCCATCCGTTCCTGAGCAGTGTGAGTATTTCAAACGGCTTATATGTTTCTTAATGAGATCTGAGGAGACATCAATTGTACTAAGTGTCCTATCTGAAAGTGAACGAAAGAAAGGGACCGGATCGGACTCGGTAGCAAGGTGTTTAGCAAAGAAAGCACTAAACAACTCCGCCTTGTCAGTGTCATCGGTGAGGAAGACTTTGTTATCATTTAGCATGGGTGGAAGTTCATGACCACGCTTAGAGGAGGGCCGATGACGGAAGATGTTAGCGACGGATTTGCCAGGGTTCGAACCACTGAGAGCAAATGATTCTCTTTGCCTGTCGCGCGCTAGGCGCATCCTTGAGGCCATCTCAAATATCTCTGTGATTCTAAGATGAACAGATAAGGAACTAGTGGATGGGTCACGCAGTTGTCGCCTCAACTTTTTTAGTTTGTTCTGAAGAAAATGAGGAACAAGGGAATCTGAAGAATTAGGCTTCAGATATCTACGCGGCACAAACTCTAGAATGTCGTTGGAAACATTGGACATGACATCACGAAGAATGGTTACATCGCTACAAGTGAGGAAGCCACACCAATCCAAGGATCTCATATAGTTATTTATTAAGTCGCTATCTACGCAGTCGTAGGTCATGAAAGTCTGAACGGCGCTTGTCTTTTTTGAAAGGCAAGCGGTAGGCAACAATGAATTAACACGTGGTCACTGTCAAAGAGGTCCTTTTTTAAAGCAACAGAAAGAGGAGCAATGTCATTGGTAAAGATTAGATCTAAAATGTGATTATCTCTTGTTGGAGAGCGCACCAGTTGGGACCAATTAGAAAAATTGATAATATCCTGAAAGGACTGGAATCTGGGTGGGCAGCTATTGAAAACCCAGTCTAGTTCAGGAATGTTAAAATCCCCAGTGATTATTTTAACATCGAAAGCAGCTTCCGAAATTAATTTAAAGATTTCACAGAGTTGTGGATCATCACTGGCTAAAGAATTTGGGGGATTGTAGATGCAGCCAATAATTGCCTTTCTTTGCGGCGAGAGAATAACAAATGCAAAGCAGAAGTTGCCCGTGAATGAGGAAACATCCAAGTAATAGGGAGAGTGCTTTAGATAGGATTTAAGATAAAGAAGACAACCACCCCTACGCCTAGTCATGCGGTCTTGGCGGTAAAAATCGAAGTCATCTATGAGAAGGACAGAGTCAGGAATTAGAGAATGGGTCCACGATTCCGTTACACATATAATATCAGGCGTCATTTCCAGAGCAATGGCTCTGATTTGGGCCATCTTGTTTATAACTGACCTGGCATTCAATAATATAATATCTAATGTGTTTCGAACGGCAATGCTATTTTCGACGGTATTTTAAAAAAATTTGGAAGCGGATATGTAAGCTGTGAATTAATGACACTTAGAGAATAAGTACCATTTAATTTAGAGTTATTGACGTACGGGGAGTCAGCAAGAGAAGACTGAGTATGAGACCTAAAGGAGGTGGGGATATAGTTTTCAAACATTGGAATGCTAGGGGAGTTAGAACATGGATAGACTTGTTGGTAGTTAAATAATGGAGGAAGAGGAGGAGGAGGAGGGAGGCTAGAAGGAAAATAGGGGCTGATGGGTGAGGGTAGGCCACTAAAAGAATGAAATGGTGGGAAACCAGGTCTAGATTTGAAGTCAAAGGAGATAGGTTGACGTACCTGAGAGCAATTGGCCTTAAGTTTTGGGAAGCCTGAACTAGGTTGGGGCATAAATGATTTAGGGCAATTCATGTATGAATTATTTGCTGGATATATAGTAGGGCTTTGATAAGTAACCGGTACGCAGGACAGAGAATTATTCGAGGATATAGTTGGAGCTGCGGGGTTTGTAGACGTGCTGGGCAGAACAGACTTGTTAGATCTAAGAGAAGGCGTCGTACCCCTAAACGGAACTGTACAACCTGTCTTTTGGGTCGGAGTCTGATTCAATTTTTGAGTCTCACCGTTCTGACGCCAAGCCACGGGTGACTTAGCTGTAGACCTTACAGCACCCAGTTGGACAATAGAAGTTATCGGTCTAGCTGATGTAGACGGATTTTCATGTGTCTCAGCGGGACTATCCGGAGGATACGAAACGACAACTGGGGCTGCTGCTGCTGCTGCTGCTGCTGCTGCTGCTGCTGCTGCTGCTGCTGCTGCTGCTGCTGCTGCTGCTGCTGCTGCTGCTGCTGCTGCTGCTGCTGCTGCTGCTGCTGCTGCTGCTGCTGCTGCTGCTGCTGCTGCTGCTGCTGCTGCTGCTGCTGCTGTAAGTTTAGGGGCAGGCAAATGCGTCAAGTGGCTCGAGTGAGATGGAGATGTAGGAGAAAGAGAAAGGAGGAAGTCAGATGTCGCAGGAGTAGAAGAAGCTGAATCCTTACGGCCACTTGTATTATGACCGAGTTGGGGAGCATTAGACTGAGAAGCATTGGGTTTACGTGAGAATAGAGACCCCATTCTACGCTCCATAGGAGTAAGATCATGACAAAGGGAAAATTTTGCCTTCTCTAGGTACGGAGGGACACGCTCTCGATGAGTAAAGATTGTGTCAACCTCAATTGATGAAAACAATTTGACTAAGATGGGTGGATTTGTACTACGGGAGGACAAGCGTTTGGCATCGGCTATTTTGTAGTTGAAACCACATGAGTACAGGAAATTGGTCGCAACATCAATTGTCAGAGCAGATCGAGGAACATTTTTAGCAGGAAGTTGTAAGAACGCTTCTGTCTATCACTAGATTCACTGGCGATCAGGTGAACAAGTGAGTCGAGACGCCTACATTCTTCAGAGGGAATATCGGAGATGTTCCCGTCGAATAAATGTCCGAGATTTGTCAGCAAAGAGCCAAACTTTAACATAAAGTCATTGCAGTGGTCAAGTGCAGACAGATCAAGCTGCCGACCAATTACAACGGGTGACGACTGACTAGTAATATCATCTGACTTAGATTTAGGTAAAGCTTCTGACTTACGTTTAGTTAGGCCATGCTTACTTACAGAAGCCGAGAGCTTACGTCGACCAGTGACTTTTGGTCTCTTCTTGTCTCGAGGCAATTTGTGATTAAGAAAACTTCTGGCAGACAAGTTGACTGAATTTAAGCTAGGCGCTAACGATGTAAAAATAAATTACAACAGTTAGAGAGAAATCGGATGCACAAAATGAGAATTGCAGAGTGCGATTAGTGAACAACGGGCATAGATTAGCAGAACTCGAAAGGAGATGGCAGCAGGCAGTTCTGAGAGAAGAGGCCTCTATTTAAGGAAATTCAACCAAAAAAACAGGTACTAAAATCGTTAGGTCTCACAGAAAAACCACTTAAAATAATATCCCCCCCCTTATCTTCAAATTTAAAACCAGCGGCTTGACCTTGCTCGACCAGGATCAACTGCTGACCTTTAACGAACATCTGAATGCGGTCTTCCCGGACATACAATTTACGATGGAGGAGGAAGAGAACAACCAGCTGGCCTTCCTGGATGTCCTCGTATGCCGCAAAGATTGTGGTGAACTGAAAACCAAAGGCTTCAGAAAAGCGACAAATACGATGCAAGTACTGAACTTCAACAGCAACCACCCAATCCGCCACAAACGCAGTTGTGTAAGGACCCTCTATCGGCGTGTCGAAACGCACTGCAGTGAGCCGAAAGACAAAATTGCCGAATTACAATACATCCGACGGGTCTTCAAAGCCAATAGCTACCCGCACAAATTGGTCAACCTGTGCTAATGCAAAAGGAACGAAAGGCCTAACTGTACGGGCACCAAACTTTGGCGAGCGCCATCGTATGTCAAGAAAGTTTCGCAAGCTGTCGGCCGCCTTCTCGCACCATTTGGGTTTGGAGTTACACACAGACCTGAGGCAGGCATCAGGCGTCAGATAATGAAACCAAAAGACCCGCTGCCATGTCAAGAAATTATGGAGTCGTTTGTCGGACCTGGTGCAGTTTCGGACAAGGCAACTATGTCAGAGAAACCGGAAGACAGCTCCGAACGAGAATGGCCGAACAGGCTGCAGCGATGCGGAGAAATGACGCCAGCTCTCAAGTTGCGGCTCATTCGACGAGATCCGGCCACACATTCAAACTCGACGAGGCCGAAATTCTCGCAAGCGGTGACAACTGTGTGAGCCGAGTGCGACTTTAATCATGGTTTACTGGTCCCCAGTCCATTAACAAGTGCAATAATTTCCCCTTTCATACTCGGTGCTGAGACTTCGCATGGGCGGAGAAATTAGCCACGCGGGGAGCGCACATGTGAACACTTTTCGCAACTCCACTGTCGGTGGGTCAGATGGCCGAGCAATCACCGCACAACATCCAGCGCGCGTGATGAGATTGCGGCAATTAATGACGCGAATGTGTGCAGTCAAACAATCATCACACCACGTGCAACGATCCCTGATGAAGGAGGGCCTTTAAGGTTCATAGGTATGTGGTAGCATGGCTAATGCATCATATAAATACTGCAGCCCCTTGTGCATGAACCAACCATATCTGCTTTTTTGTCCCTGGTGATGGGTTCGGGCATGAATCCGAAACGTCAGGTTAATAAAGCTCTTGTCCCAGCGATCGTGTCTCCTTCTTCCAGACTACTTCCTGGGACTCGTCTCTTCGCTTCTATTGGCAATGTTGTTGTTTTCATTTGATTGGTTCCACTGTGTGTTTAATATCTGCGCCACGGCCAGCCTTCAGACAGCGTGGTTCCCATCATTTGTTTAGGATACCTTTTCTAACCCCTTTTCCCATTGCGGGCGCACAATGCACTCCCTAAATGAGACTACTAGGTTGCCCCAGGCGGTTGCGGAATTCCACTGTGGGCCACGACTTTGGGTTAGTTGGAGAACGACACGAGTTAGTCTGGGACTGTAAACTGGGGTTCAGAGACTAGACGCACAGCTTTCCCCCTATTCTTCGGGTTGAATATTTGCAGAATTGGACAGGAAAGAAGACGCAATCAGCAGTAAGAATGGACAAGCAAACATAGCCAGCAGCCAGGGATAGCAATAAGTAAGGCAACACGGGAAGTCTGGCAGAGCGACAACTAGCTGTTATTATACATGCATAAATAGTTCGAACGTCCAGTTCGACGGTGTCCATCATGTGCTTCACTGCATGTTGAGAGCAGGGCCGGCGAATTGCGCGTGAATTAGTTTGAAATATAGTCGGACTTGCGCAGCATCTACCGCATTCTCTCTTCCCCATTCCCCACCTAAACCCTGTGTAAAGACAAAGTCAGGGAGACCGGATTTGGGGGGGTCGCAGATGTATGGTACGGTCGAGCCTGCACCTTCGCGGTCCGCTCCACACCCCTTGGTTTCCACAGCAAATTATCAGGTTTTTCGCCAAACAAATAATGGCAACAACGGTAACCACAATACCTCAACAGGGCCAGAGCGACGAGCATGAGTGGGCAGGCATTCCCGCCACCTGTGTACCTAGCAGGAGCGCAAGCGTGTCTACCGGCAGAGAACCAGGTGTCAGGGAACTGCCAGCGCATACCAGGCTGTAAAGGCCATCGCTTGTACCTAATGGCATACCACACGCTTACAGAACTTTTGAGCTAGAAGGGCAGCAGGTGATATTACGTATATCCTGGTCCGCCACCCTTCAAGGTTAGGTAACTAAGCCGTCTTCGACATACATACATACTTTTAGGAATATGGAATTCTTTGGGAAACAGTAAACTTTATTGTGCAAACTTTCGAGACTGGTTCCCCATCTCGTCTTCAGACAACGGGCGTGCAAAAGCAATTAACTTCTAGACCGAGTATGACAAAGAATTCTATGATTGGTTAAAGTCATCTTCTTGAGATTGGTTGGATCGTTTTGAATCTGCCCTTAACGATTTGTATATTGTATATGTATATGTATATTGAAGGGTTACAGGCAGAGCCCTTGATGGCCCCATTTACATGTATATATGTATATGTACAGTGCTTATGTATAGTGCTTTCGCAGATTCATACTCAAAAATAAAATAAAATTGCAGGCATTTAAAATGTGATTGGGTCACGGTTCAATCGTAATCATAAGGTAGTGCATGGGGTCACTGTAAATTAGTGCGGAAGATTGTATATGACAGATTTTAAAAAACTGGCTGTGCATAGTCATGCTGTACAAGCCGATTTCTGTCGAAAACTAGACGAGCAAGTTTTCTTTTAAACACACAAACTGTGTCAGCCGTCACCATCTCGCTTGGAAGCGAGTTCCACGGCCTGACAACCCGCTGGCTGAATGAAAATTTTCGTTGGTCTAAACGCGTGCGCTCATTCCCCACTTTGTATGCATGGCCGCGTAGTTGGTTTGTATGGGCGAACTCAAAGAAGTCCTCTGCCCTTAATGAGCAACCCTGGCCGCGAACAATCCGGAACGTCCAGAGTAGACTGCAGTTTATTTGTCTAAACGAGAGAGGGAATAGGCCAAGCAAATTCAGCCTCTCCTAGCAAATTCAGCCTCTGGCATCTGGATCGATATGCCGGTTGATGCATGCCACGTCTGAGTGCATTGTCTCCATGAATTCGCGGCCCTTCCTTATTGGGCGGACGCGAACAATGCGAGTGTTTTCCCATGCAAATTTGTGCCCAATGTCAAGTATGAGTATGGTCACCTGGGATAGATGGTCGCGTCTGTTTGCCGCTGACTGATGTTCATGTATACGGGTTGAGACAGAAGAAAGGGCCTCAAATTCTTGACGTAATGCACTCAACCGAGGCATGCATCAACCGGCATATCGATCCAGATGTCAGGTACAAATCGTTAAGGACAGATTCCAAAACGATCCAACCAGTCTCGAGAAGATGAATTTAACCAGTCATATAATTCTTGCCCAGACTCGGCCTAGAAGTTAATTGCTTTTGCACGCCCGTTGTCTGAAGACGAGATTGGGAACCAGTCTCCAAAGTTTACACAATAAAGTTTACTATTTCCCAAAGAATTCCATATTCGTAATTATATCCCTTAGGATGCCTGTTTTTACACATACATACACATCTCTTGGGATGCCTGCTTTTCAACATACATTCATACATCACATTAACAACTGCGTCGACGACAGGGGATGCAGCGCCATCATGTTTGCTGATGATGTTAAACTGTGGAAAGTCATCAGATCTGACGCAGACAGGTACGCACTTAAAGACAGTCTCAACCGCCTGAACAGTTGGTCAGGTCGTTAGCTCCTTAATTTTAATGTGGACAAATGTGTGGTCCTGAGACTCCGCACCAAAAAGACCAGTGAGGAGGACTATTCCTTTCTATGCGTTCTGGTTGGGCAGCCCCATTCAAATGCTGTGGTACATAAAGACCTCTGCGTCCAAATGACCTCCACGCTGAAACCATCATTACAGCGCCAAACGGCAGCCAAAGGTGTGATAAGGGTGTTATTTAGGCTGAGACGAGGATTTGTGCAGATCGATAAAGAGCTGTTCGGGAAAACCTATGGGGCATTCGTCCGGTCTCACTTACAGTATGCAGTCCAGTTCTGGCGACCGTGGTTGAAGAAAGATTATTAACGACTGGAAAGAGTACAGGCAATGGCTACGAAGATGGCCAAGAATCTTAATCATCTGCCTTACGAAACCAGGCTGACCGAACTAACTTTGTCTCCTCTCAATTACACGCAACTGCGCGGTGATCCCATTCAAGTCTACAGGATTGTCAGAGGCCGTGAGTGCGCCCTAGACTTTGGTGAGTTCTTCGAATTGACCGGGAATGACCGTCTGCGTGGTCATCCTTTCAAACTGCAGAGGAAGCTGTCTTCTCCGGACGTCCGACGGAAGTCCTTTCTCTCACAGGGTCATTGGGGCATGGAACGGACTCCCTTTCCAAAACTGTCGAATCCTTTAGGCATGGACTAGATGCCCATTAGCTGAGAAACTACTGTACATATAATCACGATTGTTTTAGCGGCGGCAGTTTGCGCCTGGCTCACATGTACCGCTAACTTTTGAATTTCCGCATTTGCTGGTGTAATTATTGATTTTATTTCTGTTTATCGATATGAATAGGGAGCTTAAGGGCGAAAGCCTCATTCCCTTACTAAATTGACTTGAACTGATTTAATAAAAAGAACATACCATTACTGCCATATCAAACAGATTACACTCAATGCGCACCGTTAGCCGTCCCTTTATAATCTATCAGCACATGCCATTATTATCATATTTAACTTATTGACGTCACCGAGTGGTCCACCGGCGGCTAATAACCATGAAAAATCCTAAAGTTTGAGTTGGCTGCCTAAAATTTCCAAAAGGCAACCGGCGGTGGTAGAATATCGACCGTCAAGAAGGGGGGAGGTTGCACGGTATCGGAGATTATCGGACGTCAAATTCCCTTCATGAAGTTGGGGATAGCCAAAGTAGAGGCGTTGAGGAACAGCTGGTGAGACCGGCCATAGTGTTCAGAGACCACAAACGCCATCGCTACGGTACAGTCGATCAGAGTTTTCAGCACCCAAAATTAGTGGGAGCTTTTCTGAATGCAAAAGTCGAGTAATAGTTCTCTTAAATAAAGGATAATTTTGCAGATTTTTCACACTCATGGGTAGTTTATTCCAAATAGCAATTGCATTTACAGAAAAGAACCGACGATATTTAACAGTACGTGCCAGAGGCAGAAATAAAAAGACCTTACGGTGACTGTTACGTCGTGGGTTGATATGATGTCTTAAAGAGGTGAGTGGGTTAAATGTGCGATTATATAAGAGTTGAAATAGCAAAAATAATCCCTTTTGTAATCTACGGAACCATAAAGGATCGAGGCCTGTAAGCCGGCAACGTTTTTGGTAAGACAAATGTCGGTGTTCCGGGGTTAAAATTCTCTTGGTAAAAAAGTGTTGAACGGATTCTATTTTCTTCCGCTCAGTAGCACGCATGAGGCTAAATGAAAACGAACAGTATTCCGTTCTTCATTAGTTGCCTAAACTGGGCATGCAGAACTAGTGCACTATAGCAAACACGTCAGGGAGTGTTAACCAAACTGACTTTTTGGAAAGCCTACGAAAGTCCTGTAAACTACTATATTTTGGGAATTCCTGTCGTTTCGGTGCTTTAGGTCGGCAGAGAGTCATGCTTGTGGCTAACTTTGATGGACGCTACAGTGATTCTGTCACTCGTTCTATGAACCATACTAAGAAACAGTTGACACTCCTTGCTCTGTTCTGGTATCCGGTTGTCGAAAAATGCGCTTATTTTGATATTCCTTATCCGACCAAACTTCCTAATATCATCATCTGAGTCGCATAGTGGTTGGAA